TTAAAACATTATCCCGAATCTCTTCAATGTCCACCTTGCGTGGTTTAACACTCCCACTGATTTGACCATTTTCTATGAACCTTGCATTGCCAGCCTTTACAATTCTCGTACTGTGGTTAGGACAATAAAATATAAATCCTTTAGACTTTTCTGGATATCCAATGAAGAATCCACTGACTGTCCTAGGATCAAGTTTCTTTTCATGTGGATTATATACTCTTACTTCTGCTTCACAACCCCAAACATGTAAGTGTCTCAAACTCGGTTTCCTCCCCATCCACAATTCATAAGGTGTTTTAGGGACTGCTTTACTAGGAATCGGATTTAGCAACTATGTTGTCGTCTTTAATGCATGCATCCACAGTGAAAGAGGTAAAGAGCTATTACATATCATGTTCCTAACCATGTTCATTAATGTACGATTCCGCCTTTCAGCTACACCATTCTGTTGAGGTGTACCGGACATTGTATACTGTGCACAAATGCCCCTACTTTCGAGAAATTTTGCAAATGGACCTGGACATTGTCCACTTTCATCGTATTTACCATAATACTCACCACCTCTATCAGATCTCACAACTTTAACCTTTTTATCTAACTGTCTCTCAACTTCATTAATGAACACCTCAAGAACGTTCACAGATTGAGATTTATCATGCAGTAGATAAACATAACCATAACGTGAATAATCATCAATAAAGGTGATAAAGTACCTTTCTCCACCCCATGAAGGGATATCAAAAGGTCCACATATATCAGTGTGAATCAACTCAATAAGCTGAGTGCTTCTTGTGGCTGATTTCTTTGATGTATGTTTAGTCTGTTTTCCCTTTATACAGTCAATACATACTCCTAAGTCACTGAAATCCAAATGAGGCAGAATATCACTTTTCATCAACCTCACTAACCTTTCTTTGGATATGTGACCTAATCTTTGATGCCACAATAAAGCAGAACTTTCGTTATCGGGTGCACTACGTTTAATTCCCACACTATTCTCAACATTAAACAGGGATTCAGAAAACTTTCTGTCAAGATTGAAACGATAAAGACCATTCATTAAAATACCAGAACCATAAAGGTACTCATGTCTATATAATTGAAAAACACCAGAAGCAAACTTGACAGAAAAACCCATTAAATCCAACTTTCCTACGGAAACAAGATTTCTAGCACATTCAGGAACATAGAGACATCCCTCAAGATCTATATGACAACCAGTATCCAAGATCAATCTATAAGTCCAAATGCCTTCTATTCGTGCTTTCATCCTGTTTCCCATTACCACGTGTCTTTCAGGTCCTTTTATGGTTTGGATCATACGAAATCCCTGTTTTCATTTTTCTTTAATGGTGTTGTAATTCACCTGGAACTGACCAAACTCATCAGGCAGAGAGTTAATGATGAATTGGATCAAAAATGTTTCACTAACATCCATCCTCATAGTCTTCAACTTTGCTGCCATGTTAGACATGTGAGTCACATGATCATGGATAGACTGAGACCAGTCAAACTTTTTTGTAGTCAGCTCACTCATGAGACTACCTACAATTGACTTGTCAGCCAAATTCGATTGTGAATACTCTTTAATCTTATCCATAAATTCCCTTGCACTTTCAGTCTTAGGCATTGATGTCTTAACACTTTCCGCCATGGTCATCCTCATAAGGTTCAAACATAACCTATTAGACCGCTCCCAGGACTCAAAATAAGTCCTTTCATTTTCTGAGCTGGTATATGTTATGAAGGCTTTTCACTAACCAATAATGCAAGATCCAAATCATAAACACCTAGATAAAACTGGATCTGTTCAGACCAATCTGCATAGTTAAGCCCGTTGAACTTGACCACAGCATTGCCAGTTGCCATAGGGTTAAAAGAAGCTGCAAAACATTTATATATGCTCACTTATTAATGCTTTGAGTTAACGAAATAAAACAAGAAACTTAAGACGTATTTAAGCAACCTTTGGGCAATACTTAAATACAAACACAATCATTGATGCTACAATCACAATAATTTAATGTATCAAAAGTTATAAGACCTATTTAAATTCACTTTTGGACAGAAATTTAAATACGCATACCAACATTGATACAAAATACTTTTATGGACATCATAATATCAAAAATCAAATAAATATGCAATCTTTGGATATACATACTTATTGATCAAAATATTCGATTTGAATATCTAATCTTAATTAATCTAGGCCACTTTGGTGACTAACAAGATTCCATAATGTAGATATCGCATCGAATAAATAAATAAAAAAAGATATAACGTTTATATACAATTCGACCTAATATATATATATATATGCATAAATTGACTACCATTATTATATATTATATCGAATTATAAATATATCTCAAATAAATAAAATTCTGTAAGTTTAATAATTGTATATGAATACATCAAAACACTATAAGATCCGTAACATACACATATGCACATGTACCTTTAATATGCACGTCAAAATATGCATCATTATATCATACATATATGCATAAAATATTAAAATATGACCATGTATAAATTTATTATACATATTGACTTAAAAAGAGAAATTCATATGACCATGTATAAATTCATTATACATACAGATTTCAAAAAGAGAAATCATATCACAGATTTCAAATCAATGTAATATATTATTATTTCAAAGATGAACATTAGAAAAAGAAATCAAACTTTTTCATCGATATATGAATCTCTAAATATATAATTAGAGAAAACTTTAATCCGATGGAAAACTTTAACCGGTGAATTATGTTAAGCCAGAAACCATGCTCTGATACCATTGTAAGATAATTTCATGTTTTCAGGGATTTGCTTTTATGAAAACCCAAACGATAAACTGGATCTGACTTTATATAATTCACACAAAACAATCAATAAAACATAGATCAGAAAACCATACATGGATCCATGAATTGCAGCTCACTCATGATACTATAAATTCTTTCTTGATGGACAGAAATAATGAATTATAATGTTCCTTTTATAGGGTGCGAAAACCTGGTTGTATTAGGGTAAGGAGAGAGGAGACTTCCAATAATACCCCTGGGCCTTAATTCTTTAATGAGTTCTTATCCATCAAAGAACCAGATTAACATTAAAATCCGAAAGCCCAAATTAGGCCACATAATAATTTATTTCTTATAAAAGGTACTGGAAATGAGACCAGGAATACACTGCTCGAACTATGGTACGGCATATACTGGAGGGCAACTTAGAGTAGGACCTACTTGAGTCTTTTTGCTGGCATTCTTGCAATTTGGGTACATGGGATTCCCTGTTTTGTAAAGACTATTCCGTCAAGGAGGATGAGTCTGTAAAATTTTTGGTTATTATGAAAATCACATTCCACCAAAAAAAAAAAAAACCGAGAATCTCCATATGTATCATGATTAGATTTTCCGTGCACTACGTTTAATTCCCACACTATTCTCAACATTAAACATGGATTTAGAAAACTTTCTGTCAAGATTGAAACGATAAAGACCATCCATTAAAATACCAGAACCATAAAGGTATTCATGTCTATATAATTGAACGATTATTGATCATGGGTCCGGAAATTGACACGTGAAAATAATGCATTGCATGACCGTACAAGCGGATTACCAAACCGCTCCATGATTGGATTCAATGCGTGCACATCGTGGATTTTTTTTTAAAACGTCGTATTAATATAATGATCATTGATAAGGGCAAAAATATTTTATCTATTTTTTAACGATGATATTCTAATCCAGTTTATAATGGTTTTCATATTTTTTTTGCCCATGTATAATTAATCGTCTATTAATTTCCAGATAGTACACAATTTTTGTAATTTTTTTCTTCCCTTTAGAATGAAAGAACTAAATTTTTTTTTGGTAACGGAGGAAACCACCACGACTCTTCGGACGTGGAGTAAATCCACCGGTCTCACGCAATAGCCTGCAAACCACGTAAAACAGGTAAAACAACCGAAATTGACAGACTCGGAGACTGGACCCATTACCTTCCACTAAAAGGCATGAGCTCTCAACCACCAGAGCCAGGACTTCCCCAAGAACTAAATTTGTCTCGGGCATATATTCAACTCATGCTTTTGACAAATATGAAATCGAAGGGGGTGTTTTTCTTTGTTCACTCTACTTATATATTTAATATCTAAATAAAAATAGTAAAGAAATGTACGAAAACGCGAATCATGATCATATTTGCCCGACAATTAAGGGCCCCACCCCGAGAAAAGGGAGGGTCAAATATTCAATATATTTGCAAAATAAATGCAATATAATAAATTAAAAACTCCACCGTCCGCCTACTTTTCTTCTGCACCGCGGTAGACAACAGTGTCGGTAGCTACATGCCATGAGTCCATGATGACAATCACAGTATATATATATATAGAGAGAGAGAGAGAATTATAGATTTGAGATATAAATAGTAATAAACTTAAAATAAATTTATTTGAAATTTGGATTGGATGGCGTTGTCTGTATTTCCAGAGTTAGTTTTGGCAGTGTTACGTCCATTTTCTTATCTTATCTTTTGTTGCTTAGGAAAATTTAATTAAAATGACTCTATAATATTGTGTACATAATATATATATATAACACAACATAAAAAAATTCCAGAATGATGAAGTTGTGTAATTCACATAAAGGCAATAAGCTGACGTATTTAATCGTATATTAAAAGCGTACCACCATTATGGATCGATGTGTTTTGTGTATAACATGTACCACCGTATATGATACACTATAAAATTTGGTATAACGACCATCCATTAAAAAAAATCGAAATGAAATTATCATTTTATATCGTATTTGGTTCATTTAGAGTTGTACATTATTCAGTTTGAATCGATTGGAATTGGTCCTCTAACTCAAATATAAAAATCTTCATTTTAAATATCAAATAATTCAATTTCCAATATTTTCAAGTAATTCAATTTTTTTAAAAAAAACAATCGCTATAAAGACAGGCTCTAGGCCATTCACACTCCATCGAAAATCTCCACTTCTTCTTCTTCGCCAAAAAAACATGTCAAAGGAAAATCACAGTCTCCTCCTACTTGTACTTGTCTGCATCTCACACATCTTCTCCATTGCAGCCGCCAATGCAACAGCGCCGAAAAGGGCGGAGAACTTCGTAAAAGCCACCTGCAGAACCACGACTTACCCTACCGAATGCGTCCGTTCACTCTCCCTCTACGCAGACGCCATCCAAGCAAGCCCTCAACGCCTGGCCCACACCGCCTTAGCCGTCAGCCTTAACCGGGCATTATCTACCAAGATCTTCGTCTCCCGGTTCACCCGGTTCAAGGGCCTGACCAAACGTGAGTACCGAGCAATCGAGGACTGTGTCGAGGAGATCAGCGATACCGTTGACCGTTTGACCAAGTCGGTCAAAGAGTTCAAGATGTGTAGTCGTGGAGATGGGAATGGGTTTTGGTACCATATGAGTAACGTTCAGACATGGATGAGTGCTGCTTTGACCGACGAGAACACGTGCTCCGACGGGTTCGCGGGTCGGATCATGGACGGCCGGGTCAAGAACTCGGTCCGGGCTCGGATAGTCAACATGAGTCAAGAAACTAGCAATGCCTTGGCTTTGATTAATTACTTTGCTTCCAAGAAGCAATAAGCCTATGAAATTATCATGATGGTGTGTGTATATATATATATATATATATGCTTCTGTTCTGTATGCAGCTATATATATGTATGTGTGTATGTTTGTACGTGTGTATGCCTGCATGGTTTGCCACGGTTTTGATGTGAAATATATATTTGACCCTTTTGTGGGGGGTGTTTGAAGGCGGTTTCTTCTAAACTAAGTATAAAAAAGGCTAGGAGACAACAAATTGGGTTTAGGTGAAGTTTGAAGCCTAATTATGGGGTGCTCTATATCATTTTATAATCAAATTCAAATTTCGGTAATTCAATCGGTTGAATGAGGACGTAAAACATCTGTTTTGTTTCAAATTCGAATATCAAATTTGGTGAAAAAACGTATAATTCAAATCACATTGTTGGCTTCTCTTTCCAGGATTAGTCTGGATTTGGTTCGGTATACCCGATTATTAAAAAACAAATTCTAATCAAAATCTAAAAATGGACAAATTTTGTTATTTTTTAATTAAAATTGTTAAATAAATAAGTTTACATTGAAGATTAAATTTAAATCTGAAAAACTGAAGTAAATGAGATATAATTTTTTTAAAATCTAAAAACCCGAACGGAGTTGTTTAAACAAAAAAAAATCCAAAATTTCAACATAATCGGATATCTATCAAGAATATAAATTTACAAAGAAAAGCACAATTTTAGAATGTTTGGGATTGAGTTTAATATATAGTGCATTCGTAGTCAGGAGTGTCAATTTTGATCAGAACTGCGAAGTTTGGTCTGATCCTCAAAATATTGGGCTTCGAATCAAGATATTTAGACCCGAAAATTTTCGGACTTTCGGAGCGGGTTTAAATCGAGATTTGGACCAATCCAAAAGTCTATTATTTTTTAAAAATTTAATAAAAAAATAAATTTAACGGATCGATACGATACAAATCCAAATCCGAAGTCTATATGATAGATTTCGGGTTTAGTGATTTAGGTTCAAAAAAAAAATCGGGTCGATTCGAATCTGAGTCCGAGTCCGAGTCCGTGGTCGAGCTCGAAATCCTCGGACCGAATACAGACTTGGGTCGGAATGACCGATTGACCCCTATTCGTAGTCCTAAAATGTAATCCTAAATTAAATTATTATATACCCATTGGACGTCGAATAATATATATGGGTATCAAAATTGATGGTATAATTGGGCCCATTAGTCAGCAGAGGCCTAAATGACCCATAGTTGTATTCCGTATCATAGAAAGCCCTGCTTAAATAAATATGATTCAATCTATTTTCTTTTTGGTTATGACGTTACACTACAATTACAATCTACTTTTTTTTGGCTATTTCGTCAAAAAAAAAGTTTCCCGCTCTTTTGCTTCTCAATCTCTTATTGCCCTCACTCTCGCAAATTTGATTTCGTTCGTGTTCTTCAGCAGAAAAAGAAAAAACAAAACAACTCCAGATTTCTCCGAGATTCTCTTGCATCGGTTCGATTTTCATTATTCCTTTTCGATTCAGATTTTAACTCGTGTGGCGCTTCGTAGTTGATCTCCATTTCTAGCGTTTCCGGGTTCCAATTTTGGCTTCTCTTCTTCACTTTCTAGGGTTTCTTTCGGGGTTTGGAATTCTGGGGAAGAAGAAGACGGAAGATGCACGTAAAGGAGATATGCTTGGAGGGTTTCAAATCCTACGCTACAAGGACGGTCGTGCCGGGTTTCGACCCGCATTTCAACGCCATTACGGGTCTAAACGGGTCGGGCAAGTCCAACATCCTCGATTCCATCTGCTTCGTTCTGGGTATCACCAATCTTCAGCAAGTTCGTGCTGCCAATCTACAGGAGCTCGTGTACAAGCAAGGACAAGCTGGGATTACCAAGGCAACTGTGTCGATTACCTTTGATAATTCCAACCGGACCAGAAGCCCTCTCGGGTACGAGGATAGTCCGGAGATTACCGTGACTAGACAAGTAAGTCCTCTCCTTCCTTCTTTTGTTCTATATCTGCGGGTTGTCTTTCAATTTCAATAGCTTCTGAAATAGTTGCTTGTAGCTGCGGAACATAAAGAGACTAGGGATGCTCGCTTTTGATATAAATTCACAAGTTTATCAGAATTCTGGAATGTAATCCAGGAACTGCGAGTTTCTTGGTTGAAAATTAGGGTTCTGTATGTATGAGTATGACATTGGCCTTTGAGCGTGAAAGACATGATCTTTGTGATGAAAAAGATATCTGCTTGTAAGTTGTAGGGGAATGCAATGCAGATGCCCACATGTTAGCCTTATTGTTATGCTATAAGAGTAATGCGAAAACATTCTGTTGTTGCATTTCTACTTAGAAGTATTTGCTCATGGAGATTTAAATCCTTTATGCCTTGGTTTTAAAGATAGTAGTTGGTGGGCGGAACAAGTATTTGATCAACGGAAAGCTTGCACAACCAAGTCAAGTTCAGAACCTTTTCCACTCGGTGCAACTCAATGTCAATAACCCTCACTTTCTCATCATGCAAGGGCGTATCACCAAAGTCTTAAACATGAAACCTCCAGAGATCCTATCGATGCTTGAAGAGGCTGCTGGAACAAGAATGTATGAAACTAAGAAAGAGGCTGCGCTGAAAACGCTTGAAAAGAAGCAAACCAAGGTTGATGAGATAAATAAGCTTCTAGACTATGAAATATTGCCGGCTTTGGAGAAGTTGAAGAAAGAAAAGACACAGTACATGCAATGGGCTAGTGGTAATGCTGAATTAGACAGGCTTAAGAGGTTTTGTATTGCTTTTGAGTATGTTCAAGCAGTGAAGACTAAAGCCACCGCAGTTCATGGAGTCGAACAAATGAAGGCAAAAATTGTTAATATTGATGAGGAATCAGAAAAGACGCAGGCCAAAATTCAGGATCTGGAGAAACAAATAAAAGCCTTGACTCAGGCAAAGGAAGCCAGCATGGGTGGAGAAGTAAAAGCCTTGTCTGAGAATGTAGATTCACTGTCTCAAGAATTGACTCGTGAATTATCGAAACTTAATAATAAGGAGGACACCCTCCAGGGTGAACAAGAGAATGCTGAAAAGGTTAATTAACTGTTATTACCTCCTCGTGTAGACATGTTTTTTTCCCATGTTTCATAATCGTTGCAGTTCTCTCAGTTATTTCTGTCCTCTAGACCTCAGTTCTCGGTTTTTCCAGATCGTTCATAATATAGAAGATTTGAAGAAATCGCTTGAAGAGAAAACCTCTGCTTTGAAGAAGTCCGAAGAAGGAGCAGCTGATCTAAAACAAAGAGTCCAGGAACTTTCCACCACATTGGAAGATTGTGAAAAAGAACATCAGGTAGTATCACCACAGCACATTTTTTCTGTTTCTCTCCATATTATCTTGTTCGTCTTTCCTTTATATCGAGTTTATGTTCTTGGAAATTAGGGTGTACTTGCTGGGAAGAGTAGCGGTCACGACGAGAAATGCCTTGAAGATCAATTGCGTGATGCAAAAGTTGCTGTTGGGACAGCTGAGACAGAGTTGAAGCAGCTGACGACCAAAATTGGCCACTGTGAGAAGGAGCTAAAAGAAAAGAAATCTCAGTTAATGTCCAAACGTGAAGAAGCAGCGTCAGTGGAGAATGAACTTAATGCAAGAAAAAAAGATTTAGAAAGTGTAAAAGAGTCACTAGAATCTCTTTCATACAAAGAAGGTCAAATGGAAGCTTTGGAAAAGGTTGGTATGTTTACTTTAGACATTTATCATCTACTGCTTTCACAAAGTATGCATCTCTGATGAGATATTACTTTAGGAACAAGCATCTGAGCGTGGAATTGTGCAAAAGCTGAAAGATAAAGTGCGTGATCTTTCAGCTCAATTAGCAAATGTTAATTTTACATACCGCGATCCAGTGAAGAACTTTGATCGGTCAAAGGTGAAAGGTGTGGTTGCAAAACTGATAAAGGTAAAAGATAGATCCACAATGACAGCCTTAGAGGTAAGCAAATCCTGCTATCATTATTAATTGTCAAATGGTTTCCATTCTCTCAGGTGGTTTTTGTTTCTTATTTCTCAGGTAACTGCTGGTGGGAAATTGTTTAATGTTGTTGTGGACACAGAAGATACAGGAAAGCAGCTCCTTCAAAAGGGTGATCTCCGGAGAAGAGTTACAATTATACCCCTCAGTAAAATTCAATCCCACCTTGTTCCCCCGAGAGTGCAGCAAGCTGCTGTTAGATTGGTTTGTGGCTCCTGCTTTTGCCATTCCCAAATGGCGACTTCTAATTTCTTGCTGAGTTTCAACTGATTTTGCAGGTCGGAAAAGAGAACACAGAATTGGCACTTTCTTTAGTTGGTTATGGCGAGGAATTAAAGGTAGGTTGACTGCTTATCTGTTAGTTTATTTAGTGTTTCAATAATATCACAGTATGCTTATCTCTTAGCGACTTGGGTATTTTAAAATTCAATCCTTATGGTTTGAATGAATGACCAAAAGAGAAAACAAAATTCTGAAAAAGATGAATCGAGCAGGCTCCTCGTCGGTATACTCAAAACCGAGAGGGAATATCCTTCGATTTCGCAGCGGAATGAAAAACACAAGGTTCTTTAGACCTTATGCTCTGATACCATGAAGATTTCTATATAATTTGGATTGTTTGTGACCATAGAAACAAAGAGAATGAAGTGAAAATGGGACTAAGTCCCTTGTTATTATGATATAAAATTCTGCTCGTAAACATACATATTTATACAAGAGGAGAAACTAACCAACGGCTAGTATGAGAGACAAAACTAGAAAGAATATAATCAAGACATTAAAAGGACGCAACGGCTAGTAACAAAGAAAGAAAGTGAAGATATTTGAGTGCTTGATTGGATGAATTTGATGTAGATATCTAGGAGATATGACTCATTGAATGTGGCTGAATATTCTTCCTTCTTTGGTGGATCCATTGGTCGTTGACATGATTGGACAATTAACCAAGATACTTCAGGTGGCATGTGACATTTTCTTCTCGTCAATGCACTAAGGAATCTTGGCCAACTATAGAATATTTGTTCATCATATGTCCATGCTTTCGTTCGTCCGAGTTTGTGATTCATAATGATTTGATCTTCAACAATAAGTGCCTGATTCAAGCTTATTATTCTGGTTACAGATGGACTAACGATCTCTAACCATTCCCCTTTAAATTTATTTCTGCTTCTTTTGCAGAGTGCCATGGAATACGTTTTTGGTTCCACTTTCGTTTGCAAAACGACTGATGCAGCAAAGGAGGTAAGTACTTTCTGGGCATCAGAGTTTCGTTATGTTAGTGGAGTGACTTCAGCTCTTATGTACTGTGATGGCAACTTAGGTTTACGACTCTGTATTGCTGGAGAGTAATTGTATAACCTAGCTGTGCCTTCCTAGATATGAGAGTAATTGCCTGCAGCCGCTTCCTAGTTGTGCCTCTGCTATATGGTAGTGATCTCTGATCAGAGTGAAAAAAAATGGAATGCACATTGAAATGTCAGATACCCTCTTTAGATTGACAAAATATATCGGGATATGTGAATAATTTTATTCTCATATCTAGGATTCAATTATCAACTCTATCGATGGTTTCTTGTAAAGGCAAAGCTATGAAATGCATTTTTGTGCACCTCTGATGATCTATGCTAAAATCTGATACTTTGTTGGATCATAAATTGTATACCAAACTTTTATTTTCTGCAAATAAATATTCATTTGTTGACAGTTATATGCAAAAGTATTAAATGAGTCTGATGAAGCTGTCTTTGATTTGTCCTTCAATGTACATTCTGCAGGTAGCTTTTAATCGGGAAGTTCGGACTCCGAGTGTCACTCTGGAAGGTGATATTTTTCAACCAAGTGGTCTTCTGACCGGTGGAAGTCGGAAGTACGTAATTCTTTCTTCAACCCACAGATCTTTGTGTGTCACTCATACTTTTGGAGTTCTTATTCATATGGTTCAGCACTGCCAACAAAAAGCCTAACAGCATTTTGCTGGTATTGTATTCCATGGTCGTAGGGGCGGAGGTGATCTATTAAGGCAACTTCATGATCTTGCAGAGGCTGAGTCAAAACTACAAATGCACCAGAAGAGGTTGTCTGAGATTGAAGCAAGGGTAAATTCTTCAATATTTGGTATATTGTTACATATTTCACAAATACTAGGGAGTTGCATAAAGCCCTAGAGCTACGCATATTCATTCGGGTTAGATCCAACTTAGAGAGGTGGTACACACTTGATTGTTGCTTATGAAGGAACATAAAATTTCAATTCTCAGCTTTTGGAATAACATTATAGTTTGTCTCATATTTAGAGCAGATCTTGATGTTTTCGAAATCATGTTCATGCATAGTTTTGGCCATTGCCGATCCATGTGAAGCAAAGCTTTAGATAGTGCTATCTCATTGTAGTTAAAACTTATGCTGATCTTTTAGGATCCTTTGATTATCTTTATATATCCTTTCTAAGGCCATCAAGAGGGTAAAACTGTCTGCTTGCTCTACTTCAGGTTGCCCCAGTTCATATTAAAATTGAAATTGAGTTTTCAAGTTAAAACCTAAACTGTTGGTTTATATTGCCATTGCAGATCAAGGAGCTTCAACCCCTTCAGAAGAAGTTCATGGACATCAAAGCACAGTTGGAGCTAAAAACATACGATTTGTCTCTTTTTCTTAAAAGGGCTGAACAGAATGAGCATCACAAGGTTACCTCTGTTGTCTATCTACTGCTTTCAAGCTAAAAGTTCCTTGCTTCTGTTTTCCTTCTCTAGGTGCTAACTGCTAAGAACACAATTTTAATCTTTCTGGTCTACTGCTCGTATATTTAGCTTGGTGAAGCAGTGAAGAAGCTCGAGGAAGAGCTGGAAGAAGCAAAATCCCAAGTCAAGGATAAGGAGGTTCTTTACATAAAGTGGGTTGATACTGTCTCCACGCTGGAGAAATCCATCAAGGATCATGACAAGAACAGAGAGGGAAGACTCAAGGACTTGGAAAAGAAGATTAAGACCATCAAGACTCAGATGCAGGCTTCTTCAAAAGATCTAAAGGTGTTCGGGATCTTTCAGTCATATACTTTTCCCTCTACATTTGAACTTCTTGAATCCTTTTTCTTTTTACTTTTCCTTCTCTTCTCTGTTCTTGGGACTAAGGCGATGTTGTTGTTGTTGTATTCGGATTTCTCAGCCTGTTTGAGAAACTGCCTCATTCTCTTGAATTTGTGGTAAAGCTGACATTTCCAAATTTGCTTCATAACTTTTGCTGCATGTTTTTTCTTGCACCTAGGGTCATGAAAATGAACAAGAGAAGCTTGTAATGGAGCAGGAAGCAGTGAAGAAGGAACAATCATCTACAGAGAGTCAGCTAGCTTCATTAAGGACTCAAATTAGCACTTTGGCTTCAGAAATAGACGAGCAGCGAGCAAAGGTGTCTATTTTTCGACTTTTGCTGAGTTCTGTGGAAGATTTGTTATCCTAATGTAATTCTCCTGCAGGTCGAAGCCATACAGAAGAATCACGACCAGGCTCAGGCTGAGCTCAAGTTGATACATGCGAAGATGAAGGAATGTGATACGCAGATAAGTGATCTAGTTGCAGACCAGGAAAAGTCTCTGCAGAAACTTGGTGACATGAAGCTTGAGAGAAAGAAGTTGGAAAATGAGGTATTCCCTCTGTCTCATTTTCTTACGGCTTCCATTTGCGGGAACTTACAAAGCTTGTTTACTTCATCAATACCCACCATGAACGGTGTCAATCTTTTGAAACTACGTAATATTTTTCCATCAGTATCCCAATTCAAAATGACTTTTGGGTTATTTTTGTTCTTTTATCTGTTGAACTAGAAGATGAGTGACAGATAGTAGTAGTTCCTCAAGTTAGAAGGGATGGGGAGTGGCCCGACTGGGTAGAATTGTATTGAATGGGAAGAGTTTCTGCTAACTCTGCCATGACCGAAAACCAGAAAGTAGTATACTTTATTTATTCATGAATTGAGTTCTATGAAAGTTTTCTAAAACTTTTGCATGTCAAGGTAATGCATATTCGCCAAGGTAATATATTGTTTTCGAAATCTTGTACAGGTTGTAAGGATGGAGATGGAGCAAAATGATTGCTCTGTTAAAGTAGACAAACTGATTGAAAAGCATACATGGATAACATCTGAAAAGCAGCTTTTTGGAAGAACAGGGACTGACTACGATTTTGCATCATGTGATCCTTATAAAGCAAGAGAAGAACTTGAGAGACTCCAGGGTGAACAATCAGGGTAATTCACTTCAAATTCTTATGACTGATACCTTGATACTCTCATGGGTGATGGCCTAAGACCAAGATCAATGTGCTACAAACTCTTTTTTTCTCTTGTGCTAACTGGTGAGATTTTTTTCCCATCTCATGAAGTCTTGAAAAAAGGGTAAACAAGAAGGTCATGGCAATGTTCGAAAAAGCAGAGGATGAGTACAATGCTTTGATGTCCAAGAAAAACATAATTGAGGTCTGCTATGCTACTCTTGGTCTTGACGACACGTTTCAATGCCTTGACAAACATTAAATCATGGCCATCTTTGTTTTCTCTAGAATGACAAATCCAAAATCAAGAAAGTGATTGAAGAGCTAGACGAGAAGAAAAAGGAAACACTGAAAGTTACATGGGTTAAAGTTAACCAGTGAGTTGCTTTCTGTTCCTGCCTCTTAAACCCAGGATGTTAGTTGATTTTCCTCCAAAAAATATTTAATGGTATTTGAATTTCTTTGATCTTTTCCTCAAGTGATTTTGGATCCATCTTTTCAACTCTACTACCTGGCACCACGGCAAAGTTAGATCCTCCGGAAGGCGGCACTTTCCTTGATGGTCTTGAGGTCCGTGTTGCTTTCGGGGGTGTTTGGAAACAGTCTTTGTCTGAACTGAGTGGAGGGCAAAGATCTCTTCTTGCTCTCTCCTTAATCTTGGCATTGCTTCTCTTCAAGCCAGCTCCTCTTTACATATTAGATGAGGTAACCTTCTATTTTTCTCTTGCCAGGATTCCGGATACCAAATCCTTCTAATGATTTGGATATTCATGATCACGATTGGTTAGACTACATTTCCATATGGAACCGTGATAAAGTAAGAGATTTCTTTGTTTTTTGGATTTCCCAGGTTGATGCAGCTCTTGATCTCAGCCACACACAGAACATAGGAAGAATGATAAAAGCTCATTTCCCCCATTCCCAGGTCAGAGAATTTCTGGGTTTCTGAACTTTCTCTTCTTGTTTTGTGATATTCTCCTACTGAATTTAATCAAAACACGACAGTTTAAAGAATCACGAAATACTAGAAATGTCCATAACTAAAAAAAACTCAAGCTTACTCATCCATTTGCCTCGAACATAACCTTACTGGACTCGTATCTTACAGTTCATCGTGGTCTCACTGAAAGAAGGAATGTTCAACAATGCCAATGTTCTTTTCCGAACAAAGTTTGTGGATGGAGTATCAACAGTCCAGAGGACGGTAACAAGGCAGGACAGATGATCCTCGTCAGATGTAAGATGAAGTCTGTCTTTTTCCGGTAATCTTTCCACACTAAAAGTTATCTGTTAGGCCTACGTGAGTAATATGATTGGATCAAAGCCAATGTTTGGTTGGTTGCCATTGTCTATATCTAACCGGAGAGCGAAAGCTCTTAGGTTGTTTGTTGCAAATTCCTGTGTAGTGTGTGTTAAGTTATTCTGTGATAATCTGTATAATTTTATACCCCTGGATTATTGGGTTCAATTCTAAACCGGCATCCTCGGTTTGGTTAAAACGAGGATATCTAATGCTAATAGAAGCCGATTAGTATCAAAACCGGCACTCTCTTTTGTAATGGGGCATGACATGCCATTGTCACAGATTTATGACTATTGATAAGTTTACAAGAAAGCAATTGATTAGCAGCAAAATGATGCTTGATACAATAGGATTACCATCTTGATCAATCATAGTTCCTATGTACATCAAACAGCTTTAAAATGTTTCTTTCATGGCGCTACAACGGTCCAATTCCAATATCATGCTAAAAAAAAAAATTCAAGAAACGTAAAGAAAAAGGGCTTGTGTCTGTCATCAGCCCCTGAATGTCTGGATGATGGTGGAGTGCCATGGGTCAGACAAGTGCTGCAACAGGTTCTCGAACGGCCCTTTCCCCGTCACGTTGTGTTGAACCACAAACCCTAAGAACGCCAACATCGCCAACCTCCCTGTCTCACCCATTTACGTAATTTTATTAATGTATATACGTTTAGCCTCTAATACCATAAGAATAGAATATATCTATATATATATATCTATATGTATCTATTAATATAATGTATATGTTATCCATGTAACGTTACAGCATATTTATAACCTAGGTTAAACTTGAAACATACGTACCGTTAGCGAGCTCCTTCTCCTTGGCCTCGAGGGTCGGGGCGAAGTTAAGAGGGTTGAAAATGCCGCCGGGGTAACCTACTTCGTTAGGAGGCAGCCTGTATTGCTTGAAGATCGGATCTTGATTCACGCTTCCCGGATTCTTTATGTCCTGCCACCTCCTTATCTCCACGTAATGGAACAATATAAACTCTATCACGAACAACGTGGACGACGACGCGAAATATTCCTCTTTTCCCGCGTCGTACCACTCGGGAGCATTTATGATTCCTGTCCGAAAACGTTTTCAGAATGTTCCATTCAATATAAGTGTATGTATATGTGTGGTTCGTATGAGAATATGAAACGGGTCACTCACCGATTTTGGTGAAGACCTCGGGGAGAAGCATTCCGGCCACGCCGAGCATGGCCCACCGGCCATTGACGAGCTCTGCTTGGACGAACCATTTCAGATTCTCCGGATCCTCCGCTAGACCCAGAGGGTCAAACCCGTTGTCACCCGCAAGGCTGGTTTTATATTAAGAACCGTGAGATTTTTTGGTTAGCTGTAATGGTACCCGGTTTAATCCGGTCTAACACCGAGTTAACCGATTGGTTAAGTGAGTGCTTTCTTCTTCTTTTCATTTTTGTTCAATACATTTTGGGTCTGTGTATAATGTATGTAGATTATACCTGCCGTTGAGGTAAGCTGGAGAGGCCAAACCGGGCAACCATTCCCCTTTCTTTGCTTCAACTTTATACGATGCCGTTCTGGTGGAAGAACCGACCGGTTTAACCAACAGTTCCCGGTTCAATTTACCTGACGAACCCGTGAGGAATCTCGGTTTCGATCCGCATGGTCGGAAAACCGCCGCCGAGGCTTGTGTTGTGACCGTCGCCATTGTCTCTTGACACAACCCGACCCGACCCGGTTTAGGTGAGATGAAATTGCAAATAAAGATTTGTGTAAGAGAATGTGTGAAAGCTATTATGAGCTTTGTAGTTATTCGCGTTGATATTTTGCAGGTTTGTGGTTGTGGTCGAGTGATTTAGAATCCACCGTTCGATTTGATGACGTTGTAGATTGGACGGCTGAGATTCGTTTGAGGGGTCCGGTTAAGCCAATGAGAGAGATCGGGGCTTATCGGTTTATCTTGGTGGCGCGAATCGGGAGGATGTCTTCCTTCTTTGAGATTGGTTTAAGTTAGATATTGCGGGGCCCTTTGTTACGCCACGTGTCAATCTCTTATCGATTAAATATTGTGGATCAGAAATTCCAAGGAGAAATCCATTGAGATCTTTTATGGAGAAATAATGCTGTTTTGCAATAAGCATAGCATCAAATTCCAAAACAATAAAAATAAATTTAAGATCACATCATCAGAAATTGATGCGCAATGAAACAGAGCATCCGACATATTTATTTATTCTATGGTACAAAAATTTAGATATAAAACGAGACAACTTTACCATGCCTGCTTCGATTTTTAAATGTCAAATCCATACACAATACAAAAGGATATTATATCTCTGTTTTATTTGCCATATTATTGTGCTTGGATTCTTTCCTCAACATTATATGTGCATTATTATTATTATTAGAGAAAATATTATATAGATACCTAATTTTTCAAAATGTATCAAATAAAGGCTTTTAACTTATAATTTAACAATATAATACTTCAAATATTAAAATGTATCAAATTAACCACAGAGTGGAGATGAGGTATTCACATAGCTTTCCTCCGGTCCCGGGATTATTCTGGGCCTCGCCCCAAGATATCCAGTTACCCAAAAAAAAAATTCTGTATCAAAATTTCTAAAATTGAGAAAAATTTTCAATCAAGATCCAAATCGATTTAGACATTTTTGAACACATATATCAGATGTGAATTACTATCAATTTTATTTTCCATTATTATCATCATCATCAGCGATGAAGGAACCCAAAAACTAGAGAACCCATTATGTATGGGCCATAACGGGCCCAATAATAAGTCCCAGTCATATGCAAAAGGGCAAACTAGGGTCCAAATTTCGAAACAGTCGAAATCAGAGTGTATGCCATCTTGAATCTCATTGATGGGCCTCATCGTAATTTGTAAATTCCATTTGATCCAAATGGGCTCAGCCCAATAAAGGATATTGTCAGAACAGAATCCAATTATCCAATCAGAATTCGTCCTTTTTTCTTTCTCTTTTTTTGTCCATTTTTAATTTTAAAATAAATGTCGATAAGCCAATCTTTTTTTTAACGTTCAAAAATGAGACCCGGGAAAGATCCGACAAGACGAAGAACCCAGACCTCGTCGTCTTCCCCACCAAGGACCCGACCCGGTTTCCCTTCGGGCTCGCCCGACCGGGCCAGCGGTGGAGCTCGCGCTGGCAAGCTTACTCCTTCGGCCACTCTGCTCGATCGCGAATTAGTTTTTCCTGTCGGAGACGAGAGGGTTGCCGGGTCGGTTTACGAAGACCCGGATCCGAATCCGAGGAGCTTCCCTTACAGCGTGAAGCAGCAGTGTTGGGACAAGGCGGAGAAGGTCAAAGGAAGAGATCCCGAGCGGTGGCGGAGAGATGCGCTGGGGAATATCCTTTTTCGGAAGCTCGTTGGTTGTCCGGGATGTTTGTGCCATGATTACGATCACATTATCCCCTATTCCAAGGTAATTTCTTTTAATTAACTGTTCCTCCTTTTGCCATTTCTGTGTCCGAATTCTCAGTCTCGAGTGTTTTGACCCATGAATTAGGGTTTTGGGTTCTTCTGGAATTTCTTGAATTCTCCCAGGCAGTCTCGTTCAGGGATTTCCTTGTGATCTAAAATAAAATGGCTGGAAAATGTAAAATTGACGTGGGGGGCACAACCGGTTAAGGTTTCAGAGTCATAAATGACATGACTTGCTATGAGATTGACTGATAAGTAAGTTGATGAACAGGAAGAGGTAATTTGGCTGCATAGTGTCTTCCTCTCAGGGATAGGGTTCCTAGTGGTAGAATGTCTAACAAACAAGGTCTGAAGGACAGCCCAATTGATTCACTTCTGCTATTCAACATTTTCAGTTGATCTTCACTCTGTAGTCTGTAGTAGTAGCGGCACAAATTGGAGGTTTCCTACATGGTTTACCTTAATCTCCAAACCCAAGAACCACAGCTAGAAACTTTCATAGAGAAACGCCCGTCGGGGTTGCCGCTTCGGCTTGTATTGTTGTGGCTATCGAGAGATTTACCCATGTCGGTGTCATGCCGTGGTAACTTTCTATGGATGAAGTATCCATGTCAGTGTCTACATGCTCTGAACAATAATACCTTTTGTTGCTTTCAATCAACTGTCCTCATCAAAGGTTAATTTCCAATCTACAATCTTTTCAAATCAACATTGCTTCTACTGGAAGTGAAATCTCTTCTCTAAAGACGAATATATATGTTTGGTCTCATCATAAAATGTATATGAGGAAAATCCAGAGGATGATATGGCATCTTCGATCATGTTCTGTGCGTTTACGTTTGCACGAGTCCATTTAGCCATTTCTGTTCATTTTCCAAAATATCTGAGAATTTTTTTCCCAAACTTTTAGGGGGGAAAGAGCACGCTGGAAAACTGTCAGGTTCTGCAGGTGCGTAAGCTTCTCTTCTCTTGTTTCCGAAGATGCAGAAATTACAGTTGCCCATCTTCTTGTTCTTCCTTTCCAGATTTGTCTATTGCTACTGATTTTTATTAGAGTATTTATGCTTGGCCGTCATCTTCTGATCCATCGCCTCTTGCAACTTTTGATCGTCGGACAGTTCATTCTGCATTTGTCTTTCGTCGCACAACACGTGCTTAATCTTTTCATGCAGGTTCCTGCTTTGATTTAGTCTTCTAAAGCTTCATATTTTGCCACAAAACTTTTGAAAAATTAAAATATCGGGTAAAGCCAAGCACAGGCCTCATCAGGATCTGGACTTTGTAAAAGACTTACAAATCCTGTCTTTGTTTTTATCTTTTGGATATTTCATTAACCATTGGTTCAAGACATTAGTGAATTTACTTCACATATGATTGTTAATTGCAATTCCAACTCCGGGCCTTTCCTAAGTTGACATCTTTATCTTCTGGACCGACTACTCGGAAAGATGGAAATCTGGGGGTACTCTAATGATCTCTACTACATAGTATACAGTGGCATTTTCCTTCTTTAGATCAATGGCGAAAAAATGTTGGCGGGTAGCATTTGATTAAGGTTTGTTTCCCTCTTGTTGCAGGCAAGGGTAAACCGATCAAAGGGCAACAGAACCGATATCTCTCGGGCTGATCTCATTCAGAGGAGCTCATACTGCCGCGTTTCGGGTATTTGTCCAGAATCTCGCCATTTATCGCCCGGACACTCACTTTGATCTCTCTGTTGAGTCGTGTTTCACGTGGGGAATTTTCTGCAGGTCGTGATATGGATCTCATTGAATTGACGGCCTATGGGAACGTACGGCATGCAGCGGATTCCGGTGGCTGCAGAATTCAATGATCAGAGTTAGATTCCCACTTCAGAACCGCCCTTCAGGTATTTGTTTTTTTTAATATTTTCTTTGTAATTCCTCTGAAGATACATTTGTCGAAATCAAACGAAGAGCGTATAGATTTCTCCTACATTATTGTATGCATATGTGCCCTGGCGATATCTATTCGTTTGCTTTAAACTTTACTGAATAGGATTTGATGATATATACACACACATATACATATGTGAATATCAAATTGGCCAATGAACATGATGTATATTATTCATTAACGTTAAAAAATTAAGAAAAAACATTAAAATATGCCCAAAACCCAACCTTTGTGTGAAAATACAAACTTTAAAATATGCAGAAAATGAAAAATAAAAATAAAAACATGGGCTTTTCGAAAGGTTGGGTTTTGAGAAGTTTTGACTTAATGTTTTTCAGTTTTTTAAAGAAAAATCCCCATCATATTTGAGCCGCCCATTGACTTATTACATCGAGTCTCCTTTTCATCTGTTTAAAGACGCTTTTGACCTCAGCAACTGCTCTCTCTCTCTCTCTTTATTCGTGAAATATTAAATTATATTTTATTATATCAATTCAGAAAAAAACATTTAGTGGTTGAGAGAGATGGTATAGATTCCACCACAACCGACCAGCCTTATCCAAATTTTAGTTACTTGTAAATGGATATAATAATAACTCATGTGTTTGCACATTTTAAAATATGGTATTAATATTAGATTATTCAATATACAAATCATCCATCTTTATATTTCTGTAAAAAATGTCGTAGAGAAATGAAGCTTATATTTTTTTTATATATATTTCCATGTTGCACACGAGACGTGTCTCAAACTGAAAGTGCTACAGATGGCATACACGTGGCCCAATCGCAACAAAGCACTTCTCCTCGTGGAATTCTGATTAAGATTTCATCTACTTTGCTTTTCTTTTTCTTTTTATAAATTGTCGGATTGTTAAGGTTGTCTTTTTCTTTTGATTTTACTGTTAACCTTTTCCTTTTTCTCCACTTTTTATCTCCACTTTTACTCTCTCTCTCTCTCTCTCTCTCTCTCTCTCTCTCTCTCTCTCTTAGATATAAAGGATGTTTTTCTTTATGTTGTGGTTTGACCCAAATCCACCAAGGCTTTGTTTTTTAATAAATTAATTAATCAGTCCACTAACGTTTTGTCTTTTTTGTTTTATTTTTTAAGTTAAATCAAAGTTTTTAAAGGTCATCCCGAAATTTGGAATTTCTTTTAAAAATATTAAAAAAAATAACTTCATTTGGTTGAAAATATAATCCATCTAAAATAACTAACAAATCTTCCATTTGTATGTGAATAAGTACGACAACATTGCACCTATAAAACTTTATGAAACTAATAATAGGATTTGATTTTTACCTGCAGTACAAACTGTAATTTATTTTTGTTTCTTGTAATCCAAATACTTAGTCCAAGGAGGGTCCAAATGATTAGCCTCTTCCCGGGTACAAACTGATTCTTCTTCTTCCTTTTTTTGGGCCAAAATACAAATTTTAATATATGAAAAAAAAGGTCTATACACGAAAATGATTCATTTATATGGAGTGTACAGAAAATTAATAAACAAATTACTAATAATATTATTTATTCACGAGTCAACAAACAAAATCAGATGTTTGATTAAAAAATCGGGATGGGTGTTTGGTAAGAAAATAAATTTTCGTAAGACTCTTATTTCTTTACACCCATACTTCGTTGTGTGTGTGTATATCAACTATGAGTTGTAAAATTTTGGTTTAGGTTTTATCGATTAATTATGATATATATATATATAGCTTATGAAATGACTAAACATTGTTGATTCTATAATATTTCTACTGTAAATATAGGAAGTGAGTTGACTCTTTAAGTGTAAAAAACAGTGAATTATGGGGAGTCTTCCACCCCAATTGTTGATGACAAGTCTCATCGTATTGAGGTTGTGGGTTCGAAACTCGGGTATGTAAATTTTCATAAACCGGTCAGTTTTGACTGGTTTTTCTGCTCTGCATGACTTGCCGACTGTTACGCAGAGTCGGGGTTTACTGTAGCGATACCGATTACTCGGTCTGAAAGCTGTGGGATGATGCAGGATCTGGTTGGCAATGTGGCGGGTTCCCACCATTATAAAAAAAAAATAAACTAGCAGAGGATCATCATCATCATCTTTTAGTGACATAACATGCATATGGCAAGGTGTATATATATATGTATATGTATGTAAGGGTCAGCATTTGTGGCGCGTTGACTCTGAATTCCAATGATACTTGATTAGTGTTGATTTTACTTTGATCGACAAAAGTCAAACACCAACAAGTGTCTGCATTAATTACTTTGCAGTTAACCCTTCTTCATTGCCTTTTCATCATTGTGCGTGCACATACATATATATCTCGATACATGTATATATGCGTCTATTTGTGGAGAGAGAGAGGATAATTCATGGCCAATGTTGAAAAGATTGATAGAAATTTAATATGTGGATGATGGGTCAAAGTGGTTGAAGGGCATTGAGTCAATGATGTGTATTTTCACTTTTCAATTTTTTTTGTTACAGATTAAAAAAAGGAATTAAAGAATATTCGCGAGTGTCCATGTGATATACTTCTGCTTCAAGGAAAAGAAAACAAGAGTATTTGTATCTTAAGATAAAACATTATTATATGATTTTATGTGGTCACCAAAAAGAAGATAAACTAAACAATTTATTATGGTCAGTCCAAAAATAATCAATGCCCTTAAAAGTTCAAGCAAATGAAAAAGCAAAAAAAAAAATGAAAGAAAGAAAGAAGAAAGTTTGGCATCCAACGGGCAGTTCCGCCTCGCCTAATTTTAATTAGCAAAAAAACCCTTAAAAATCCTCAAATTTGCAATAGGGTGAAAAACTAATTTCTGAATTTGCAATGTATCTATTTATTTTCGAATTTAAAAAATTAGATACGATAATTCCTAAACTTGTTTAAAAATATCATAATTGTTCTTATAATAAATTTGATCAAAATAATATGTTGAACAATTCTATATGATGCATGAATTGTCAAGACTCGTTAGATTTTAATGTCATGTATGTAGAACGGGTTTAATAGACACATAAAAGTAACAATTTTGAGGATACTTACGGGTTCATTGATAGTGTTTCCAGTCGTCGCATCTCTTTCTTGAACAATGTTATTCTCACTGAAAAATCTAGGATGAACTACATCTAACCCCGACGGCGGTTATTTTGATACCAAACGCTCTTGTTTCGGTGGAGAAACTATCGATCTGGATCTAGAGCTCGAAAACTGGCAATGATGGTAATTATTTCGATCTCCGTCATTATCCCAAATCTTTCGGTGAACTGAAATTTTCACTATTACGAACCGGTTTTGTTAAACCGTGTCTATTAAACTTAGTTTTGTATACATGGTATAAAAATCTGATGTGTCTTAACAATTCACGTACAACATAGGATTGTTCAACACATTATTTTAGTCAAAAGTATTGTTAAGACGATTATGATATTTTTAAACAAATTTAAAAATTATCGTATTCGATTTTTCAAATTTGGTAATAAATAGGAATATATGCAAGTTCAAGAATTAGTTTTCCACTATATAAGTTTTGGGAATTTTTATGGGTTTTTTCTAAATATATATTCTCCATCGGAATATTTGCGTCTCCCAAATTTAAGAGAGACAATGAAGGAATTTGTTTGTGGTGATTAGGCGTCTAACTATTTCAATCGCATACATATATATATATATATATATATAGTTCTGTCTGGCATATAATATAGTTTATTTTTGGACATATATTATATTTTGATTTGCGATATTAATAAATATCACATTACTAACATTCAAAATAATAGATTTCAACAAAAGAAACAAAAAACAACGACCACTTCTCACATATCATATGCTTAATTTATAAATTAGTAGGAAAAAAACATGAAAACAAACAAAGAGATTAAAAAGAAAAATGGCATTACTAGGGTAGGGATGGAAAAAGCCAAAAGGTAATGAGAATATATATTGTATATCCTATATTAGGAAGTAGTTATTATACGCGATTGTATTTTTCTAATTTCTAGCTAGGGTTAGTTTCTCTAATGCTGTATATAACCATGCGTTTATGCTTAATGAAAGGCAAGCCACTTTATCAGAATTCTTCAACTCGGTTTGTGTCATGGTATCAGAGCCATCGCCACTACCGCCGTTGTAATTTTCCGACGAAATGTCCACCGAAAACACTCATCTCGAACCAAACACGACATCTCTTCCGACCAATGAACCGATCCACCCCACGAATTCCACCTCGACAATGAATGGACGCGACACTGTTTCTGCCATACGACGAACGATATCACCATACGACCTCACGCCGAGTGATAACCCCGGGTTGATTTTGCCTCAACCATTACTCCGTGGCGACAATTATGATGAATGGGCGATCAATCTCCGTCAAGCACTCAAATCTCGGAAGAAATTTGGGTTCGTTGACGGCACAATTTCCCAACCCGATGACGGTTCCGTGGATTTCGAAGACTGGGATACAAACAATGCTCTCATTGTTTCGTGGATTAAGAACTCCCTTGAGCCGCAACTTCGATCCGAAGTCGTTCACCGTGAGTTCGCCACCGATCTGTGGGCGTACTTAAATCGCAGATTTGGGAAGACAACCGCTCCTCGTCTTCTCAAAATCAGAAGTGAACTTGCCAACTGCCGACAACACAGAATGACCATTGAAGCATATTTTTGAAAACTCACAAAGTTGTGGGATGACTTAGCAAACTTTCGATCTCTGAAAGTTTGTAAATGCGGGCGATGTTCTTGCGACATCGTGGCTATACTCAAACGAGAACGGAATGAAGATCGATTATATGAATTCCTCATTGGTCTGGATGACACACGGTATAGCACCGTACGATCGAATCTGTTGTCCCGATAGATTCTACCAACACTTGAAGAAGCATACAACACGATCGTCCAAGAGGAGGATACTCATCGCGTCTCTCAAGCCCCTGCTGACAACTTAGATGTGACGGCATTCGCTATCCGATCTGAACAGAAACCTCGACCAAAATCTTCCGACAAAGATGTTTCCGTCATATGCTCGAATTGTGGCTGAAATGGTCATGTCGCCGACAGTTGCTTCAAACTCATCGGTTTTCCGGAATGGTGGGGCGACAGACCAAGAAACAGAGCTAGTCGGGTAGACGCCAACCGGCACTAGTGAATCATGGAGATCGCGGATGCCCTTCCATTGCTCGTGCCAACGCAACGACTATCATTGCCAACACCGCCATGGTTTCTAATCCGCCTCCTCTCAAAGCTGCTGATAAACAGCTGGTCTCAAGAATCACTGAAGAGCAATGGCGATCGTTGATGGTTGTACTCAATGTCAACAACGTCGGCAATTCCGAAACGATGACTGGTAAGATCCCTGCAATATCTTGGATTTTGGATTCAAGCTGCTCTCACCATATGACAGGTGAAAAATCTGCTTTGTCTAATTTACCTGCCATGTCGCCATGCTCTGTTATCTTACCCGACAATCGTCTGTCTCGGTTGAATTCGACTCGGTTTTTCTCGATCATGGTCTTCAGCTGTCCCGCGTGTTCTATGTTCCTGGATTGCATTGCAGTTTGATATCGATCTCACAACTCTTGGCTGGCTGTGAATGCTTTGTGACATTTGCTCACAACTTCTGCCTAATTCAGGACCGCATTTCCAAGACGCCGATTGGAGCGGGTGAACTCAAAGCGGGGCTTTATTATTTCCGACGACCAGCGAATTTGGCAGCAACGACGGTGACAAATTCTCCATCTATGACATTATGGCATCAACGGTTGGGGCACCCGTCACCCAAAGTTCTTGCCAAAATTCCGAGTTTTGATTTTTCCAATATTGATGTTATTGAGAATAAGCAGTGCTATGTGTGTTTGCCCGCGAAACAGACGAGGGATTCATTTCCGTTAAGCGTCAACAAAAGTTCTGCACTT